AATGATCCATTTATTTGTCATAACATGTCTATTATAGGTATTTGGGATCGTGTATGCCTTGAAATCACAAAAAAAAAACCAAGTCTCAAAGGTTTGGGAGCGAATACGACCAAAATCCAACCAATAGACACCTAAATGACCTATCCTTTGCCTATTATCTACATTTCTAACTAAATTATCCATTTATTTGTCATAACATGTCTATTATAGGTATTTGGGATTGTGTATGCCTTGAAATCACAAAAAAAACCAAGTCTCAAAGGTTTGGGAGCGAATACGACCAAAATCCAACCAATAGACCCCTAAATGACCTATCCTTTGCCTATTATCTACATTTCTAACTAAATGATCCATTTATTTGTCATAAAATGTCTATTATAGGTATTTTGGATTGTGTATGCCTTGAAATCACAAAAAAAAAAAACCAAGTCTCAAAGGTTTGGGAGCGAATACGACCAAAATCCAACCAATAGACCCCTAAATGACCTATCCTTTGCCTATTTTCTACGTTTCTTACCAAATGAACCAATTCTTTGTCATAACATGCATATAATAGGTTGTTTTAGATGTATATGCCTTGAAATCACAAAAATAAGCACGTGTCTAAGTTTTGGGACCCTAAATGACTACAAATCAACCAATAGACCCCTAAATGACCTATCACTTGCCTATTTTCTGCGTTTCTTACCAAATGAACCAATTCTTTGTCATAACATGCATATCATAGGTTGTTTTAGATTTATATGCCTTGAAATCACAAAAATAAGCATGTGTCTATGTTTTGGGACCCTAAATGACTACAAATCAACCAATAGACCCCTAAATGACCTATCACTTGCCTATTTTCTACGTTCCTTACCAAATGAACCAATTCTTTGTCATAACATGCATATCATAGGTTGTTTCAGATGTATATGTCTTGAAATCACAAAAATAAGCACGTGTCTATGTTTTGGGACCCTAAATGACTACATACACAAAATTAAACTAAATATTAAACTAAATTAACTAACATACACAAAATTAAACTAAATATTTTAAAATAAACTAAACTAAAATAAAATAAACTAAACTAGCATACATTATTATAATAAACTAAACCAAACTATGTTAACATGTTATTATACAATAATTAAAAACTAAACTTAAATAAACTAAACTAAACTAACATATCATAACACATACACTTTTTTTTTTCTAAAATTTCAACTTATTATAATATAGATACAATAAATTGTATACACTACACTTAAAAAAAACAATAAATCAACATATATCTAAATACAGTTACCGACTAACATGCCAAGTATAAACTAAACTTATAATATTAGGTTTTACATAGTCTCTAACCTGTAGATCTGCACTTGTTATTGCCAAAGAACAAAGTGAATCTACAAAACCTAAAAAAATATCAAATTATCCCAATTAGTAACATAGAATGTGATGCCTATGTATATTAAAAAATGATTAAATGGTAACAAATTATAATGAAAAAAAGAAAGGAAAAATAAATAAAAAAACAGAGGGAAACACCACCTGCTAGCGGCGGTGGCTGGGCGACCCCTTGGTTGCAGACCGGCGCCCGGCTGGTGTCGTGGCTGTGGGGTTCCTCACTAGAATTCCAAAACCAAAAAGAAAGGGTTAAGTACAAAAAAAAAACCCCAAAAAACCTCAAAAAAACCCCAAAAACCCTCAAAAATACTTACCACTACCCGGCGGTGACAATGGTGTTTTTTGGTGAATATTTCGCGGCTGTGGTGGCTAATAGTGAATTCCGTCACAACCTAGGTGGGGGTGGTGGTTAGGGTATTCAATAACTTTAGTAAAAAAAAAAAAATTAAACCAAAAAAACGGCGACTTACCGGCGGCGGCAACCCGGCAGCAGGTGGTGGCGACCTCCTTCCCCTTTCTCCTTCTCCCTTTCTCCTTCTCTCTTTCCCTTTCTCCCTTTCTCTCTCTTCCTCTTTCTCCCTGCCCAGTTTCCGTTTCGTGAAACAATTCAAATCGCCTTTATTTTTTTTTTTAATTACTGAAAGGTTCCGACGGAAATTAATCCCTCGGAAATACCCCCTTCCGACGGAATTTTCCGTCGGAACATATTTTTCCGGCGGAAAATTCCGTCGGAAGGGTGTATTTCCTTGGGCATATAAAATTTCTTTGGGCGCATTCTGACGGATATTTCCATCGGAAGAACAAATTTCCAAGGGAATAAGGTCCGTCGGAATGATTCTGGCGGATTTTTCCGTCGAAAATAATGCTTTCCGACGGATTTTTCGTATAATCTAAAATTCCGCCGGAATTTCCTATTTTTGCGAGGGAATTGGAGTCCGTCGGAATTTAGCCTATTTCTAGTAGTGACATTCTTTCCTTATATGCTACTGACTTAACTGCAGATTTTTCCCGAAGTTCCGGCAAAAAATCTAACTGCTACCGTAACAGAAGATCATTTTGTTCTTCATAGTAATGCTGAATTCTGAATTTCGGAGGCCCTACCTCAGCCGATATCACCGCTTTTGTGCCAAATACCAGGTTAAAGGGGGATTCACTAGTTTCCTCTCTTGTTGTGGTGCGATTTGCCCACAGTATTTCCAGTATGATATCAGCCCACAATCCCTTCGCATCTTCTATTTTCTTTTTCAGTGCTGTTAAGATCTGTTTGTTGGCAGCCTCTGCTTGGCCGTTTGACTGTGGATGGCACACTGCCGCAAATGCAAACTTTACCTTGTACATTCCCAAAAGGCCCTTTACCGGCTTACAGTCGAATTGCGATCCATAATAAAAAAAAACCATTGCCATCGGCAGCCCAAATCTAGTGAGGATACTCTTCCAGATGAACTTTTTTACCTCAAATGCAGATATCTTTGTTAGCAGTTCCGCCTCTATCCATTTTGAAAAGTAGTCAATTCCCACTTTCAAGAACTTTCTTCCCCCAGTGGCTGACGGAAAAGGCCCCACTATATCCATTCTTCTTTGTGTAAACGGGAATGGATTCAGTATCAGCGTTAAATCATTAGGTAGAAGATTGATAACTAGTGCATATTTCTGACACTTCTCACACTATTTCACATATTCCAAAGCATCTTCATTCATTGTCGGCTTGTAGTACCCTCGTTTCATTGCTTCCAACGACAAAGCTCGGCCTCCAATATGATTGCCGCAAGTACCCTCATGTATCTCTTTAATGAGTTTTGCTGACTTTAAAGCCGTTATGCACCTCTAAAGAGGCAATGAGAATCCCCTTTTATATAACCATACACTGTCTCGCCTTAGCTTCTGTAAGTCGGCCTTATCTGCCGGCAACGCTCCATACAATAAGTATCCCAGAATTTTGTCATTATTTGAAGCCTTAAACTTGAACTTCAAAGCATACTCAAACACATCCCCCTGTGGCGATGTTATCATATACCGACTCCCGATCCAGCTGTAGTTGCAGATCCATCCATCGATACCTGCTACGTTCCCATTTTCTCTTCCTCATCATTATATGAGGCTTCCACAATGAAGTTCGATAATGCTTATGCCTTGATTGAAACTCTAGGCTTATAGACCAACTCGTATTCCGATAGCTCAATCGCCCATTTTAACAATCGGCCTAAAGTATCCATCTTTTGCAATGACTTTTCTAACGGCTGATTGGTTAACACCTGTATTACATGGGCATAAAAATAAGAGCATAACTTCCTTGCTACAATTACAACGGCATAAGCCATCTTCTCTATTACCGGATACTTGCGTTCTACAACATTCAGAACATGACTGACAAAATATATCGGCATCTGTTGTTTATTTCTTTCCACCAACAATACCGCTGCTACTGTTTTAGAGATGGTGAAATGTATAATTGCAACTGCTCCCTACGTTCTGGTCTTGCTACTGTCGGCGACGACCTCATATGATTTCTAACGACCTTTAACGCTTCACCCTGATCTTTTACCCATTCAAAGGTTTTGTTTTGCCGCAATATCACAAAAAACGGAAGTACCTTATCAGCGGATTTACTGACAAACCGGGTTAAGGCTGCCATTTGTCTTGTAAGCCGCTGTATGTCACGTATTGTCTTCGGTTGCTTCATATCAAGTATGGAAACAACCTTGTCAAGGTTTGAATCAATACCTCGCTCACTCACCATAAACCTCAAGAACTTGCCTGAACGAACCCCTAATACACATTTTTCTAGATTCAATTTCATATGATATTTCCGTAAGGTGTAAAAGGTTTCCCTTAGGTCAGCAATGTGATCCTTTTCAAGTCGGCTTTAATTTTTACAACCATGTCATCCACATATACCTCCATATTTTGCCCCTTTTGCGTTTCAAAGATCTTATCAACTAGCTTCTGATAAGTTGCTCCTACATTCTTTAACCCGAACGGCATGACCTTATAGCAATAGACTCCTGCAACCGTTATGACGCTGCCTTTGCCCTGTCTGACTCATGAAGGCTGACTTGATGGTATCCCAAGAGGGCATTTAAAAAGCTGAGCATAGTGTGGCCTGACTTCTGTAAGCAAACACATTCACATTTTCCCGCAGCAAACTAATCAGATTACACCTCATGTCTGAATCCATATCTGAACTGCCTTCACCGTTCAGCCTGGAACACCTGGCTGGAGCTCAACTTGCACTGTTTCACCCCCAGGGGCCGGCCTAGGGATCGATACCGGCCTTGTGTCAAAGTTCTCTATTGACAGATCACGCACTGATAGCTCTCTGTCCTTTTTCGGACTATTCAATGCTGGCGCCCCTCGAGTGGGTTGTTTTAAAGTAGTTACATAAAGGATTTTGCCATCTCATGTCCTCCATGCACCTTCTCTACACGCCCTGAGTTCGATACGTAGGCCATTGTGCAATGGTATGTCGACACTACAGCCTGTGTATCATGAATAACCGGTCTGCTGAGAATTGCATTATACGCCGATGGTACATCAACTACTATGAACTCAGCCATTACATCCCTTGTTGTCGGCCCTTCACCAAATCGAACCGGTAAGACGATACTGCCCTATTGCCTTACAGTCGAGCCATTAAACCCAATCACAGGATAAGCGACCTTTGTTAGGTATTGCCTGCCTATCATCATTGCATCAAAGGCCTTCATAAATAAGATATTCGCAAAGCTTCCGCCATCAACTAAAACTCGCTTTATCTCAGCCCCATTTATCATAAAAATCAACACCAGAGGATCATCACGAGGAAAAACAATTCCCCTTGCATCCCCTTTTGTGAAGGTGACGCTAGGAATATCAGAAGGCCGAGAACGGTTGTCAACATCCAGCGGATTCACTATATGCCGATGTTTAGACAAACTCTTTCTTGCTCCGCTTGTCGTTCCCTCATGCACTAGCCCGCCAGTAATCACATCAACTACAATGTTCTTTCCGGATGATAATGGGGGCTGCCTCCCATCTCCCTGTTGGTTCATCCCGCCTTGCTGCCTATCATTTCTAATCTCTGGTTGCTGGTACTCTATCTGACGAAAAGGTATGGGTGGCTGACCTCCCCCCGAATGCAGACGATATTGAGTTAGATACCCTATTCTTATCAGCTCTTCTATGTTATCTTTCAACTGCGTACATTCTTAAGTGTAATGGCTGACATCACGATGAAACATGCAATACTTCTTCATATCTCTACCCTTCGCCTTCATCGGTGTTGTTCTTACCCAATCTTCTCTATTCTGATTCACCAAATAAATAGCGGCCCTCAGCGTGTTCAAAGGGGTAAAATTATTGTACCGTGCCGGTTCTCTTGCACCTTTTACTTCATGCCGGCTTCCACCCCCTCTCACCGGACTTGGGGCTCTCGACCTATTACTTCCAGACGTTGTTTCATCAGACGGATGTTGATTTTTATCTATTGGCATAGCTCTATTACTTGTCTTCAACAACTCTTCACTTTTTATGTAATCATGAGCCTTGTTAAAGGCCGCTACTAATGTCGGGAGACTCTTCCATGTCAAGTAGTGTTTGAACTCACAATTGTTACGGTCGTTCATCAACGCCATAACTACAATCTCCTGTTGTAACTTTGGAATTGTGTTTGTTTCATTGTTGAACCTCCTAATGTAGTCCCTTAAAGACTCATCTAACCTTTTCTCCACTGCCATCAGCTCTCCTGATGTTCGTTGGCGGACACTGTTACTGATTTACTGCCATACAATTATCTCTGTTAACTTCTCAAAGCTGTCAATCGTCCCGCACCCCAAGTTGGGAAACCAATCGTGCCTTTGTTTCCCGGCCGGTTGTATGCGTCTTTACCGGTGACGCCTCTCGGGATGGACGCCTCGGCGAACCAGTCGCGGCGAAACTGGCTATCAAGATTTATCATAGGTACCACTCCTCCAACCTGCTCATTATCGACCCCTGCCTCTTTTCTTTTTCTACTCATTGCCCTTATTACTCTGGATGTTATCTCCAGCTCTTCTTGAGTGAACTCGGCTAATGGGTCCGACACTACATCGTTATTCCGTTATAGTGTTATTGGCATATTGAACTGATTTTGTTCTAAGGTATGAGTCTCATCCTCTATCACAACTTCCGGGACACTCGTGCCATTTCCAGCTGTTACATTAAAGTTTGTTATTTTTCTGATTCCGTTATCATTTCCAAGTGTTTCTTTGCCTTTGGTCATAATTTTACTGAGTTAGGTTCTCAGGCAATAAAAGAAATCACTACCCCCTCTTTCTAGCGCCAAACTGTTCCATATAAGACCCGACAACCCGCATCCGAGATCCGTGACGACCCTATCGTCTAGTTGAGCACCTACACAGGAAATAAGGATTAGCTAACCCCGGGGTGAATCCGGGGATAACCACTCAGATGACAAAGTCAGAAAGTGTTTAAGAAGAAGGAGAAAAGAAGATATCAAGAGAGAGAGAGAGAGATTAAGAGAGTGAGAGAAAGAGAGTGATAAATTCTACCTCTTTATGAAGAATTAAGTTGGCTATTTATAGAAGACTCAACTACCACGTAGCTGCATGCCATGCAGATAATGTTCTTGCCAAGTGTTGGTCGCCTGATGCCACGTGTTATTCATCTGACGACCGTTATCTGTGCCGTTATAGTAGAATGTCGTTATACGCATTATGGCCTTTAATAGGTACCCGCTCAATCTGTTATGATAGTTGATATCGGCGTGTATTTATCCATTATCGGTATCTCCCCATACAACTAGCCCCGGAAGTGAGCATGTTAGTGTAATTGATGTTCTCACTTTTAACTTGATCTTGTAAGTAGCGAATTGTTTTTTTGGTAGTTTTTTTATTGTGTCAACGTTGCTGCGTCAACTTAGAGAGAAAATATAATTGAATGGCTTGCCTTCTCATTAATTGTATCACAATTACAATCTTCCTAATCCTAGTATCAAAGGATATCCTTAGGGGTGTATATTCGGGTCGATAAACAGTTCAGGTTTGGTTAGGTTTATTAGTTTCGGGTTATAACGGGTTGAAATGATTAGCAGATTGGTTTGGGTCGGTTTTGAAAATCATTGAATTAGTTTGGTTTGGTCTTTTTTATTTCGGCTTCTATTCGGCTCGAGTCCTAATCGTGTCGGGTTGTAGTTGGTTCGAGTCATAGTCAGTTTGGGTTGAATCGGGTCGGTTTGAAAACACGTTTAGCCACTTTAAAGTGGGTTTCGATATAAAATAGTTCGGGTTCTAATCGGGTCAGGTTATAATCGGTTTGGGTCATAATTATTTTGGGTTAAACTGGGTCGGTTTGAAAATGGGTTTCGATTCAAAATAGATCGGGTGAAATCGGGGTGCCGATCATTATCGCTTCAGGTCATAATCGGTTTGGATTGAACTTGGTCGGTTTGAAAACGGGTTTACCTAGATGCGGGTTTAAGTCCAAAACATATTGGGTTAAAATTGAGTCAGGTCATTATCAAGTTGAGTTAGTTAGATAATGGGTAGGAACAAGTCATGATATAATCAAGTTAAGTCATAAATAAGTTGGGTTTATCGAGTAGTGGGTTAAAACGGATCAGATCATAAATATATTGGGTTACCGGTAGTAAACGACTCAGTCATAACAGGTTACCGGTCGTAAACGGTTCGATCTCAATGGGTTACGGGTCATAAACAGTTCGATCTCAACGGGTTACGGGTTGGAAACGGTTCGATCATAACGGGTTACGGGTTATAAATGGTTCGGTCACAACGGGTAACAGGTTGGACCGGTTCAAGTTCATCAGATTTTTGCCGGGTTTAAACGAATTTCAGTTTAAAATAGGTCGGGTTACTATCGGGCTCAGACGTAATCAGTTCTGGTTGTTTTCAGTTTCGGATTATAATGGTTTGGCTTGATAACGGGTCGGGTTAGTAACGGTTCATACAAATTCGGTTCAGTTCAGTTTCGGGTTAGGAAAAATTAGGTCGGGTCGGTTTTCGGTTTCCAAAAAACTGGTTTTTAATGGTTTAGTTCCTTTTTGGATCGGTTTGAAACAGTCGGGTTTAACGATTCGGGTCAAAAACTAACAACTCTAGATATCCTAGAATATTAGGAAGTTAACTTGAATACAAAAGATAATATTTGCTAATATATATCTTCACCAAAATATATTATACGATATATCTCATTATCCCCCCCCCCCCCCTCAAGTTGGAGCATGCGGGTCCGAAATACCCAATTTTGAAAGAAGATAATCAAATTGTGATTTTCCGAGAGCCTTGGTAAAAATATCAGCTACCTGAGACTTTGTCGAAACATGAGAGGGTGAAATCAAGCCTTCATTAATTGCATCCCGAACAAAGGGACAATCAACTTCAATGTGCTTCGTTCGTTCATGAAAAACTGGGTTCTTTTGATGTGTAATGATGACTCACTATCACAAAATAATTTGATTGCTTTTGGATGTTGAACATTCAAACTTAACAACAAGGCTTTGAGTCACTTTAGCTCACAAGTGACGGCTGCCATGGACCTGTATTCGGCTTTAGCCGAGGAAAGAGAAATATAGGCTGGTTTTTTATTTTCCATGAGATAGGGGATTTGCCAAGAAACACGAGCCAACTAGATAGAGAACACCGAGTGAGGGGACAGGCAACCCAATTAGAGTCACACCACCCCTGCAGATTCAAGTCGCAATCAAAACTCAAAAGTATACCCTGACCCGTAGTGCCTTTTAAATAGCTAACACCCTCAAAGCAGCATCTTAATGCTCACTACGAGGTTCTTGCATAAATTGAGACAATATGTGAACCAAATAAGCTAAATTAGGGCGAGTTACCGCAAGGTATATCAAGCGCCCTACTAGCCTGTGATATGACTCCGGATCCGGTAGAAGTTCGCCACTAGCTATACTGAGTTTGTGGTTTTGCTCTATCGAAAATCCACTAGGCTTTGCACCCAACAATCCAGCCTCATAAATGATATCCAACGTATATTTACGTTGACATATAAACAAGCCTGTAGAGCTACGAGCAACTTCGATGCCCAAAAAATATATCAAAGGACTAAGGGCCTTCGTCTTGAAATAATCACTAAGATAGGCTTTAAAAACAGTAAGAGCTAGCGGCGGAATCGTTCCCAAAAATAATGAGATCATCAACGTAAACCAAGACGTTTATTTGAACATTAGCCTCAGCATATGTAAATAATGAATAATCTGAATAAGATTGTAGAAAGCCGTACTGTTTTAAAGTCGTAACAAGTTTTACAAACCAACATCTGGGAGCTTATTTCAAGCCGTATAAAGACTTGCGCAATCTGCAAACCACATTAAGATTTGAGCTTTCAAACCCGGGTGGAAGTTTCATGTAAACATCCTCATCATCACCATGCAAGAATGCGTTATGAACATCCATCTGATGTAGCTCCCAAGTTTTTAAAGCTGCAATATTTTGGATCCTTGCTTTGAATAACAGCTGTAATAAATTTCTGATAATTCACAACGGAGTACCTGGAGACTGATTGGAAGAACGAGGCGGACTCTTAGCCACAATCGTGTGTGTAACAAAGTCACGCAGCAAAATCGAAGGATATTTTTCCCTGAAACCGCGACCCAACTCGCTGTGTGTCTGCTATGCCGTGGGGTCAGCTTGCTGGTGAGCTGTGACCTGCTCGGTTTGCTGGTGCTGGGCAGTGGCAACATCATCTAAGTGCTACTTGGACTGTATTGGCTAAGTAGTGGCAACCTCGGCTAGCTACTAATGGGCAGTGGCAGCCTCTACTTGCTGCTGCTCGTATTGCTGCTGCTGTTGGCAACAAAAGTGGTTGGGACAGGGGACTCCGCAACCCCCTTGCAGTTAGCAACATTATGCCGTAGGGTGGATACGGAGTGGTCTGTTTCCCTCCTTTCCAGTGTAGTGTTTGTGTCCTTAATATCATGTGCACCATTGTCATCATAACTCAAATCAAAATCAGCAAACTTAACATGAATATCATCCTCCGTATCACCGAAGTTTGCCTCAATATTAACATCATTCGGGCTACCAAAGGGAAACATATCTTCGACAAATTTCACATCACGAGAGACAAAAAATTCCTTTGTTTCAAGATCAAATAGTTTCCATCCTTTCTTCCCAAAAGGATACCCCATAAATACACATTTACGACTCCTACTAGCAAACTTATCTCCCCTAGTCTTTTGATTGTGAGCAAAACACAAGCAACCAAAAGTCCAAATAGCTTCAAAGGAGGGTGATTTATTGAAGAGAATATCAAAAGGAGTTTTGTTATGTAGGAAAAGAGTAGGAGTTCGATTAATCAAATGAGCCTCGGCTAAAACACACTCTCCTCAAAAACAAATTGGTAATTTGGCTTGAAATCTCAAGGCTCTAGCAACATTAAGAATGTGTTTTTGTTTTCTCTCTACCCTCCCATTTTGTTGAGGAATCCCTATACACGAGGTTTGGAAGAGAATACCAGTTGTAACAAAATAATCATTCAAACAATTAAGTTCGGTTCCATTATCACTTTGAACAATTTTAATTGTTTGAGTAAATTGTCTATCAACCACAGCAACAAACGCCATAGACATCTTAAAAACTTCCCTTTTATCAATCAACAAATAAATCCAAATGGCTCTTGAATAATCATCAACAATAGTAAAAAAATAACGAGCTCCACACAACGAAACATGTCTATATGGACCCCATAAATC